TATATATATATATATATATATATATATATATATATATATATATATATATATATATATATATATATATATATATATATATATATATAAAATTATTTTTCTTCAGCAAAAAATAATAATGTAAAGTTTTATGTATAGTGGTTGTGTGACCTTGGTGCAATATAAATATTAAATCAATCTCATTCATCAAATAAAAATTAAAACATATAATAAGTTATATATGTCCCGATTGGTCAAAATCCAATCAACAATAAATTCCAACATTATCAAACATCATAATTAATCATATAATTTAACGTCCATATAAAATGTCATTTATCACATTATAGAAATGATAAATCGCGAGCAGGTGAGTATTCAGGTCAAGAGATTTTAGATAAAAAAAAAAAATAATATTTATATATAATTAAAATTATTTTTTATATATACTAAAATATATTCAATTTTTTCATATATTTATTTAAATTTTTGATTTCATCACCATTCGAATTTGTCTCATCATGACGCTGAGATTTCTCTTTCATTCTTGACTAATGGCCAAAAGAAGAAACTTGTAATTAAATAAAAGCTACTTGTACATTAATTAATTAGCATATAGTACATGTTATGGTGCTGTAATGTACTTAAATATGCTTGTGATATGACACCAACTTCTTTAATTAAATAAAATATAATTAATTTTAACCATCAAAAGAAAGAAGTAAAAATAATTATTAAAAAAAAAAATAATGCACGCTTCTTGACAAGTAAGTTTCCACCTAACAATCTCAACTGTCCTAACTTCTACCTATTTTCAAATTTTACTTGGAGTAATTTTTAAACAATATTATGAGTTGCGGTGAAATTAGAATTTTAATTATAAATATAATAACTTTGATTAAAAATTTTAATTATATTCGAGCTAACAAATAAAAAATATGTCTAATGTATTACAACTTTTTGAGTTTCATAGCTATTATAATTATTTATTATTTGTATATGTGAGTTGCTACTTAAATTATTCTCGAATATTTATCATAATTTATCTCAATTATTAGTTATTTATATTTTCTGTAAGTTATTACAATGATAGAAAAAATGAACTATTGACAATGGAGACATGCTTTTTAATAAATATTCAGTGATGGTTTAGATTGAAAATTATTTTTTTATATATGAGTTGCTATTTAAATTATTATCAAATATTTATTAAAATTTATCTCAATTATTAGTTATTTATTTTTGGATTAATGTACAAGTACCTCCTCAACCTGTGCCCGAAATTCTAGAGACACACTTATATTATACTAAGATCCTATTACTCTTGAACTTATTTTATAAGTAATTTTCTATCCCTTTTCGACTTACGTGACACCAGCTTGAAGAAAAAAGTCAATCAGCATTGGAACCAGAAAATAGTATCACGTAGGTCAAAAGGGGATAGAAAAGTATTAATAAAATACGTTCAAGGGAATAATAGAATATTAATATAATATAAGTGTGTCTCTGAAATTTCGAACATAAGTTGAAATGTGCATTATCCCTTTATTTTTTCTATAAATTATTACAATGATAGAAAAAATGAACTATTGACAGTGGAGACATGCTTATTCATAAATATTCAGTGATAATTCAAATTGAAAATTAACTCACCTAATAATTTAAATAAAAAAAATACTATTAAGTATGTCTTTTTGTCCTTTCACTCTTTATACTAAAATTTTACTTACTCTATCTTTAGATAATTTATTTAAAATTTATAAATTCTAAATTCATATTAAAATAATAATTTGCTGAGGTAAGGGATTTTTCTTCTTTATTTGAAAGGAAAGTTAAAGAGAGCAGGACCGATACTTTTGAAATGAAATAGTTTCTATTAACAATTAAGAGGTCGTTTGATATGGGTATAAAAATAACAATTTTAAGATAAATTTTAAGATTTTAATTTATCTTATGTTTAGATAATTCTAATTTTAAATTATTTGTTTCATAATTTGTATCTTAGTAATGAAATAAATTATTTCATATATTTTGAAATAACTTATTATAAAATAAATTATCTTGAGTAATTAATTAATTATTGCACGTATCTTTGTCGAATTATCTTTATATATGTGGACTTCTAAAGATTAATTAGTATTTGATTCTACTAACATTGTAAATAAATATTATTGGCAGATAGATTAATTAACAATTGAATTCACGTGCTTAATTTAGTAGTTAATATACAATAAATTATAAATATAAACTAATTATACGTATATTTTATATAAATCACACATATACTATATATTCACCTATTTTAAATCTAAATAGTTGTGTGAAGGATTATTTTTTTCTTTTTTTGTTTCATTTTTAAATAATATTTCCTCTCTTAATCAAATGAAAATTGATATGCATCACTGGTTGCTATTAGCGCTATAAGATGATCAACACTTAAGTGCATAACAACAATACATATTTAGTAATATTTCATAAGTTAAATATAAAAAAATAAAAATATATATAAGAATTTATTTCTACCCTATAGAGATAAAAATAATTATTTCGAAGGATAAAATTACATACAGTCAACTTGATTATTCAAGATTCTTAAATTGCAATTGTGATCTTCACCCAACAAATTGAAAGGGAAATAGGTACTGAAAGTCGTGGAGAAAAAGAGAAGTTAATCGAAAGACTAGCTAGATGCAAGTACAATTCATTCTATTGCTAAATTTTTAGATAAAATAATCAAAATTAATTTTCACATTTTTAACTCATGAAAAAAAACTAGACTCAGCACTAAAAGGGGGCATATGGAAACACATACAATTAAGTACATAAAAGTATGACTATTCTATTCACTCAAGTTTTAGATAAAATAATTAGGAATAATACACAAGTACACTCTCAATTTGTATTCGAAATTTCAAAAATACATTTATACTATACTAAGATACTTATAAAAGACTCAGCACTAAGAGGGGACATATGGAAAACATACAATTAAGCACATAAAAGTATGACTATTCTATCAACTCAAGTTTTAGATAAAATAATTAGGGGGCATATGGAAAACATACAATTAAGCACATAAAAGTATGACTATTCTATCAACTCAAGTTTTAGATAAAATAATTAGGGTTAATACACAAGTATCCGAAATTTTAGAGACATACTTATACTATACTAAGGTACTATTACATCATAAATTTATTTAATAAGTAATTTTCTATCCCTTTTTAACTTACGTGACACTAGTTTAAAAAAATTAACAAACGCTGAATCCACGAAATAGCGTCATATACATCATAGCACACCAATTTCTTGTCCTTTTTCTAACAAGGATGATGAACAATAATCACATAAATTCAATAAAATAATAAAACATGCGGAAAACCACTCAGCCAACC